CAAACACCAATTATCCTGGTATATTTTGAACATGAAATTATCATTACATAATCCCCGAGAGGATTATATCACGTCTTTTCGTTCTTTGTAGCCATTGTTCTTGCCCCCTGCAAAAATTCTCGACTACGTGCTGAAAAACTCTGCAAAGTTTCCCAGGCGTGTTTTTGGGAGTGTGAAAATACCCAAACCGAAATTTGGAAGTGCCATTATTTTACTCCTAAAATGTCGAGCAATTGTGCTTTTTTTAATGCATTCAATTTTTTTGCAAGGTCGAGCTTTTTTTTTCCTTTTTACCGCCATCCCTTACATGATATGACGTGTGAAAAGGATAGTAGGATTTTAACCAGTAGCAAAAGAAAATTATGGGTCCATTATTTTCTCTTGGCAACAGGAATCATTTGCACGTCGTTTATTTTGTGGAGTGAACATTTTAGATCTCGGTCAGCGTTCTAAGTTTCTAGACAGATTGCTTTTCTCTTTTTTATACTTGTAGAATGCAATTTTCTGCGTTATAGCAATCCATGAATGCAACCCACGCCTTAACGCGCTTTTGTTATGACAGGAAAATTTTAGAGAGTTAAGAAAATTTCTTTACCGCTGATTCATAATAAACAACCCGGTTTAAATTATCCAAGCTGCGGTCCTTTTGAAGACCCTGAGCCCTTTTGAAGGGGCGAAGCTTAAATTCATGTCCGGGTGCGGTGAAATCAGGAATATACGATAAGTGTTAATGAAAATCTACAAGACAGCTAGAGTGAGAAAAAAGAAAACCTTAAAAAAGATAGGCTTGATTAGTACGTACGCGTCTAACTTTTATCTTCCTTTTCTGGTTTGCTTGTACTCATTCAGTAATTACAAGTGGTGCCGAGAGAGCGGTTTTTGGAATGTTTTTGTTCAATTATTTTCGGCACCTTTTTTCTTGCCTTTTTTTTCTCATTCTTTTTTTCACACTTGCCCATAACAGTTGATGTTCACGTGTCAATTCAAATATAATTTCATACGGTATAATCACCGTAATAATAATAAGCGGTGACAGCAGGGTTTTTTTGGTATAATTTTTTGCTTAATTGCCTCATCAAACTTTGAAATTTCTAGAACATAAGAACTCTATTGGACCAAAGCAACATTTAATCATAGTTCTTTTAAATTGAGGTTTCTTTAAGATTTGAAATTACACAAAACTTTACCATTGTACACTCATGTTTTGGGATATTCAAATTACTATTGCCAAAGCTGTTCTCAAACAACAATTAAAATTAATGACATCTATTCCTTTCAAGAAGTGATGTAATACCCGCGAGAAGGCAATAAATGGAACAATGGCTCGTCATTTTTATCATGTACCTAAAAAAGCCCGTGGTAATTTTCTTTCTCCATGCACTCGAATTTGACGAAATACATTCTACGCCTGAATTAAAAAACGACTCCATAATAAGCACTTTCCAAAGAGTACTGCGTGCATACGCGTGATTTGCAGTACTACATTAACTCGTACCGAAAGAATGCCGAAAGAATGCAAGAAAAGTCCTTTGTTTTGCTTCTAGGACAATAGCTTTGAGAAAAAAACTTACAATTGTGACGTAATTAACTAGTGTATAAAAGCTAACCCGGATTGCTTCACTGAACCATCGTTTCAGCTTACCCCGCAGCCAGCTTGGAAAGAATCTGCAGAAATGAAGGCTTTCATTGGTTTTTGGCTGTTCGCCTTTGCAACTGCTGACATCTACCAGTGGGTCGGCCTTCCAGAAGAGAATTATAAGCAGCTTGATAAGTTGCTGAACGGTAAGCGTTCTGCATTTTCCTTTCGGTAAATTTTGATGGTGTAAGACGTCGATCTTCGTCCGCCATTGAACTGAAATAATTATATTTCTCGCTCGCTCGTGCCTTCTGCAAAAAGCTACGTACTGCAACACTACAGCTGACTGTTAGTCAGGGATGAAAATAGTATGTATGGTAGCCATAATTGACGAAATTTTTACACGTAAAATTAATTGCTTTGAGCAATACCAAATTTGGCCCAGCAGTTCTCAGTCGCAGCGTAACGCCCTGATGAGTTTGACATAATTTTTGAGTCCATTGATCTCGCTCGTTAGCTCCTTCTGGGTCAACAGCTTCAACAATTTCTTAGAAACTTTAACATGTTTCCGATGGACTGATTCAATCTTGAGTTCTTGACTGATTAAAACTCCAAGGTTTTTTGAAGTTCTTTTTCACTTCAGAGCTATTCGAAAATAAACTATAGAAAGCCACAAAGAATCCACTACAAAGTAATCAACGAAATATCTACACTCGGTAATATTGAAATAGATTTTTTCTGAGTGAAGTTTTTGAGAATAGAAAAACTTCGATAAACAAGTATGTTGCAATACGATCGCGTTATCCGCTGAGAAAAATTTAAGCATGCACCGAAGTTTCTAATTTTTCAAAAAAGATTGGTAGAGCAGGGAGAACTTCTAGTACCACGTGACGTATATCATTATGTTCAACATGCGAAATAACTGGTACCCAGGGGAGGTGCGTGTTTTATCAGACTTCTCATCTGGTATTGCATCTTCCACTTGAAAGCCCTTCATCATCATCATCATCATCATCATCATAAACTTTCTTTCATCTCGAATTTTAGAGTAGCTTGTTGGAGCTAATATCTTCGAGAAAACATAAAATGGAGATTATCTGTATATATTCATACATATATCTGTGCAAGATCTAAAATACTATACTAAAATACACAGTATTTAGAAATATAATTATGTAACATATCAGTAGAAATTAAAAGAAAAGTGAAGATAAGCGGGAACGACTATACAAAGATACGGCCTTGGATTATCTTTCTAAAGTCTTTAAATGCACTCGTGCCTTGATGTTTGTTCGTTTGCCTTTTGTCATTTCCTTTGCGTCAAATCAATTCTTTATCAAATAAACGCTTCGTGGGAGTCGTCGCTTTCCGCAGTTCTGCAAAACAATTTTGTTTTGTGTTAAAAAAAAAAATAATAATAATAAAATAAGATTTGCTCATTATTTCTCTTGACAGATGAAAAATTTACAAGCAGAGGATTGCCCGAGCCACTGAAACCTGGTCTTGGAAATCTGCTCATAAACGATCATGGCGAGGAGAAAGAGGGAAGCGAAGAAGGAAGTGGAGAAGGATCAGGGGTATCAGGGGTATCGGGGATATCGGGGGAATCGGACGGATCAGGCGGCTCCGGAAAACCACCTCCAGTTAAAGACGCCATCGAGGACTTAGTTGAATCGGTAAGACGGGGATATAGTAATCTAATTAATGTGTTTAAAACTGCTGAACGACTAGCTTCTCACTCGGACTGTCAGCGAACTGACATAGTTGAGTATTGGATACTGGTTTTAAGTAGCGAGTCTTCTTCGATGATTGCCTCTATGCATCCGCGAAGTCTTTTATTTGTCCGTCACGAAACTCACTATCAACTCCGTGGTAATTCATTCTGAACTCGACATTTCAATTTAAAAATAGCATATCAATTAATTTTTTTTCTTAAGCTTTCACCAACCAGACCAAAAAGGGTATTGGGGTACATCGGCCTGACACGTTTTAGTAAACCAGCCGAAATAAGATTACTTTTTTAACACTTTATTTCCGTTTTTTGACGTTACCTAAGAATTTTATTCCTCCTTTTTTTTTTTCTGCTTCAGTAGATTTTTGTTATGGCAAGGTTCTCGTAATTTCTTTGTCTAGGATAGTTACATAAGAGCTGAAAAGCTTCACTTATTATTAAGTAAAATCTTTGTCTGTGCGATTGCAGCTTCACGCCATAATACCAGCTTTAAAAATACTGAAGAAGGCAAGAGACGAGAAGAATCAAGGTAATCTTTTTATGTTAAGTTCCACGTAGCTTATTGCAGAATTTCGACCAATGCGCAGCAATCAACAATTCATCTTCGCGGCTGAAAACTCCATATATTTCAAAGTTTAATTGTTTCACCTTTGCAATACCATATCGTTGCCAATGAAACAATTTTATAAAAACTGATCGAAGCAAGGTTCAAAGCAAAAAACAATGAATATCGTAAATGATAACAATGACCTTCTCGGTTCAAGGCGATAAACTTTTAGACAACAGTCATTTTCGGATACACATTGGAATAACACGAGCTTCACTCTAAATGGAAAAGTTTACAATCTTTTCAGAATACGCACAGCAGCTTGTAGAAGTGATAAAGCATGCGGAAGATGATGCCGACATCAAGATACTTTTAGGTTACCATGTGATGAAACTGAACGAACGCTGTCACCAACTAAAACTGGCTTTTGCCCGCCATGCAAACCAATCAGGTAAATGTGGTTGCTCATCGTTTTGAATTGTTTGTATATTTTGACACTGTTCTCTGTTGAGAATCTTAACGTCTTGGTCTTAGATTTTGTTCTACTTTATTTTTTGTTGTTATTTTTATTCAAGAATTAATGGACAAAACCGTAAATTATTTCAAAAATTTAGTACAGAGTAATTATTATCGGTTAGTTATAAGTCCGTTAGGCCCTCAATTAATACAACCTTGAACTTTAATCGTGTATGTTTTTGTATTTACACCAGATGACAGTTTCAACGTCTGTAACTTTTTTTTTTTGCAGGTTTACTGGACCAGCTAGGTTCGGATGACTTGGATTTCACCAAAGTAATGGGGCAGGTCATTGAAGAAGCAGAACAACAAGCCTTTGGTAAGAAATTCATACAGGTTTGTTTATATATCTGAAAATAGGATGAAAAGCATTGATTTCCTTTCCACTATTTACTTAAAAAAAAAAATACCTGGAAGCTGGATAAAAAATTGAGAAACTCAATCTTCATGAATATATAATGCAAGTTTAAGCTAAAAACTCTCTCCAATTGGTTTTCAACCTGGATTTTTTTTTTTGGTGAATGTCCGAACATTCTTAGGTAACAGAAATATGCTCTGTGTCAGTCTAACAAGAAAGCGTTAATAATATTTTTTAACACTTAAGCTAGCCCTTACAAAAAAGGATAACCTTGAAGTATACTACAAGTATACTGCATCAATAATAGTTGTACTGCGATCGTACTTAAATAGTACCGCGCGCACTTTAGCTAAAACTGCAGGACCATTTTTGAAGTACACTTTTAAGTAAACTGCTCAAGTGAAAATCATTTTCTTTGTTGTTGATGTAGAGTACAAGCATACTTTAAATGTCTCGCACAAATGTAAATCATGTTCAAGTCTGATTAACCCTTTGCATACTAAGTGAACACATGTTTCCAGATAATACCTTTACCACTTTTGATACTTGTTTCTTGTTGAACTTAAGACACAACATTATGTAAGTGTGTAAATTGTGCCGGCTAGTTGATGTAACACCTATTGCAACCTAAAACGCCCACAATGATTCCTGATATTCATTGCAGTGAACCGTTCGTATGGAAACAAATCCCAAAGTGCAGCATTTTGCTCGAAGAGAAACACCAAAAACATGTCGATCTTTTAAGATAAAAACTTGCTAAAAAAAAAACAAAAGTTTGCGTTCAAATCACACCTCAGGGCCAGATCTTGGAGTCTGGCCAGAAAATTCCTTCTCACTTTATCTGCCAGCCCTTGTTTTTTTATTTTATGAAAGCTAGTGTCGCGAACACAACCGTTACCTTGTTCATGCCCGAAAAGAATTCTGGGTAATTCGACCATAACTCGAAAACGCAACTCCTGTCATTTCCATTTCAAAGAATTTTTAGCATCGTGTCGGGCCATCCAGTCCTACCAGCAAAGTATCGCATCGATTAAAATTTTTACCGGTCAAAACTTGGCCACATAGCCGTTGGTAGGTCCTGGAAGCCATCCACAGAGGGGCTCAAGAGGCAACTTCACTTGTGAACTCGCCAAGCTGGCAGTAAAGCATCGTTGGCGGTCCAGTCTACAAGAAACCATCTCTCAACTCTGTTTTCCTTCAGAGGCTTGCCTCTGCCCACATTCCAGCTTAATGATGCCGTCGGGAGGGCTTCTGTAGAGGGAAAATGGCTCGAAAAACACTTATAAACGGCCAGAAAATCGAGAAACCGAATCGATTTGAACGCATCCAAACACGAACTGTTGATCTAGGTCATGTGAACTCAAGGTCTGAGGCCATGGTGTCTCAAAACTGCAAATACTGTAACGCATGATCCATATAAGGACCAACAAAGTGAGGTTAAGTTTGTATCGCCAAATTAGAACTGAAAAAAGCATGGTCGTTTTCGTATTCAAAGGGTTAAGGTGGCTGAACACAATTTTCGTACGCGTTTTTCCTGACGCAATTCAGCGCGGGCACAAGGATTGCAAAAAAACAAACACGCCGTCAATAGAGCGGTAATTTTATTTATTAAACATGTATCCGCACTCTGTACTATTTTTCTCTATAGTTGGCGCAGTGTATTGAGGGCTTTAATCTTTTATTACAGATATGTTAGAAAAGTTAACGGTGCAAAGAACCCTGCAATTCTCAGCTTTTTCGTTGTTACCGAGAGAGCCCAGTTAAATGCAGCGCGTGCGTAGTAAGTAAAAAAATTGCGTTTGAATGGAAAATTGCTTTATTGGAAATATGCCTATTTCTTGAGAACCACTCATTAGAATTTCACGAAATTTAGCACGAAAATACTTTAGGAAATAAGTAACTGGAGTATGGAAAAAAAATTGATTTTTAATAAAAGAAATTCTAGATAATTGAGTCAACCTTCATCAGGGGATAATTAGAGATCTCTCTGTTAGATTGTTAGCAAAATGGTCCTAACTTGTGAGTATCGTTACAAGCTCGTTGCATGCAAATTATAAAGAAAAACTAATGACTAGATTTTCTAAAAAGGAACAAAACCGATTTTAAAGGTCTGTTTATATTTATTCATGTCACCTTGGCAACGGCACATACGTCAGCTTAACTATCCGAAATACAAAGTTTGTGTTGTTAACTTGCTTTCTGCCAGTTTTGGCGACCGAGAGACAAAATGGTGAAAGAAACACCGGTATCAAAAACTGTGTTCGGCCACCTAAGTAGGAAATAACTATACTGAAAAGGTACTTATGCTTCAGTTGGTAAAGGTAATAAACATTTGCATAATCATATGAGCTGGTTTATAAGTTGTGCTACAAACCAGAAAAAACCTGCAAAGCAAAGTTACCTTCTCAGAAGAATTATATTACACTGTACATTAACTCACAACTTTAAAAATACTATCCTCGCACAGCTCATGCTCTTCAACTCGTAAATATTAAAGAGATAAAAAAATTCTCGTCACACACTCAGAATTACAGAAATTTGCCTAAACAAACTTATCAGGACCTATGGCTCATTTTTTTTTCTTTGTTAAGATGTTTTCGAAGCATTTACGCACATTGCATTCATGAATGGACTTAACAACTATCCTGGAGCAAAAGCTATCATGGCAGTTGGAGGTTTAGTGGCTGATGCCGCATGTGATACCAAATTAGATGGTAAGCATAAATTTCGTTGTATCTATTTGAGGGTGTCTATGGACTAATGGCTTTTACGGCGGGCGATCAAAATTTTCGTCACGGTCTTCAATTCTACCAGAGTTTATTATAATATGAATTCGTATTCATTTATGACTAATATTTCTCGTATCAGTCGGAAAAGTACCTTTGTGACAGCCTGTGTGCTTAAGATTAGATGAGGATTATTATAAGAAGAAAATAGATCAGGGTGCAAATGTTAAGAAGATGCTTGTAGACAAGAGATTAAAAAAGATACTTACATGAGTTGATAGTGACGTAACACTTCATTTAGAACCTTGATAACAACTTTTTTAGCAGCGGCACAAGTGTGAAGAAAATTGTAATAACGGAAATGTTTCCTTTAGTGTTTTTTTCAACGTCATTACAGCCTGTTTAACAATATAAAGCGTCTTTTCTATACGATTTCTTAGGTCTGGTAAAAATAATTGGGGAAATTGTGGAGAAGGAAGACAAAGAAAGTGACTATGATATCTCGGACAAGTTTATCCCATTCTTGTACAACCCACGGAGCAAGTTTTGCAGAGGAAGTGAGTCAGAGATCCTACATTCCCTGAACTTTCCCCCTCTTCATTTTTTACATTCTCTATATTTCGTTTAAAGTCAGCCACCACTATAATCTCAAGTGCAGTTTTCCAGTAGCTTCCACAATCTTATCCTTTCTTTTTATCCAACCAACCAGTTGTCTTCACTTGAAAATTGTTTACATTTCTCAATTTTTACTTCCTTTTAGTGCTCTCGACTTCCCTTTCATAATATCATCAAAAGATTAATCCTTTTGTCTAATCTCAAAATATGAACTTGTATATCTCAGTGAACAATTTGTCCAAACCATCTTTCATTGGATTTTATGCACTCCGCTAACTACAAAGCATTAACGTTTCTTCAAAAGAGACTGAGCCCAAGGGCTAGCAGTGTACTTATGGAGGGCTCCGCATTATTCAAAGTCGTCTTAGTCATAATCAAACCTTGTATCCTAGATTTTATCCAGTCCTTGAAACCAGAAAAAAGCATGAAGGCCAGATTCCTCAGGCTCGTTTTTTCATATTGCAAGGAAGGTATGTTCTTTTTATTTACCCGCTCTTTCCTTGTTGCCCTTGATTCTTATGATTCACCCAATACCAATTTCTCTAAACAAACGTCATTGGATTTGTATGGGAGACAGTGAGGAGAATTGGTACAAAGATCCTGGGAACAAAAGAACAGCGCTCCAACTTCCCGCGTCACAACGCTTACCATGATCTGTAAACGTTACAGACAAACAGAAAAGTGGAGCCATTTTTTTTTCATAAAACAAAGGAAAACTAAAATATTATACCATGTCAGCACAAGCTGTAAATTAGCTGAACCAAGTGAAAAGGAAAAAAAATTTTCCTTAACTGCTCATTTCTATTTCATTACCTTTTTAGTGAGATTTGCTAGATTTGCAGTCAGCACGGTGTTGGATGTAAGTAATGTTTCATCGATGCATTTCTCCATATATGGTGTTAATGACGATCAGTGATACGACTAACCTCTTTTATATCATAACTCGATTATGAAAATAAATAAATGAATAGTTTTACCTCTTTCGTAAACAATTACAGAAAATCAAGCTCTACAAAAAATTGGTAATTTTGCATAAGGTGGAGGGAAAACGTCTTCAAGGTATGTCATTATCCCAATCTACACCCCCCTCCGAAAAAACAGTTAGAAGTTTAAGAGCCTTGGTCGCTAATAATCAAACAAAGTAATTTGTGGATCAGTATACCCCAAAAAAATTGTGGAAAAGCTTACTATTAACGCAACAACTTATTACTCTATTTGGGCAAAGAACACACTCGAGAGAGCAAGGGATGCAGAAAAAAAGTTCCTCTGACAACTAATTCGTTCAAACACCAGAAAAGTTTTGTGAACATTTAGTGTGACATTTCTAACATGTGCGACACACTTGTAAAAAATTTGCCACCCCCTGGTACAAGTTCTGTCTATAAAGGCGTAATTTTGTGTCTCGTAGCTCTCCACTTACCTAACGCCTTAGACTTTTTTGAAAGAAAGTGTCAGATAAGAAGACCATTTCCTTCTCCAGGAATGATCAAGGCCGTAACAACTCTTATGGCGAGTCACAAGGTAGAGAAAGCTTTCTTACTCGCTGGCGACTATGTTGTGGACAGCATGAGAAGAGCGCTTCTGGTTGGTCTCGCTGTGCATAAAAAAATGGAATCATTACTTTCAGCCGAGGAGAAGGGTGAAGAGAAGTGGGAGGAGAAAAGTGAAGAGAAGGAAGAGGAAAAAGGCGAGGAAAAGAGAGACGAAAAGCCAACAGATGACAGGTTTAAAAAGCTTGCTGATCTCGTTGAGGAGAACCTGGATCAGCTATCAGATGCTCTCAAATCTACCACTTCCGTTAATTAGTCATACTGTGAGTAAGAAACTTTCCCTTTTCATTTAAAATGTGCGTTTAGCTCTGTTTCCAGATTCTAAGAAATAGATAGGAAAGTTCCTTTTCAAAGAGTCGCTTATTTCGACGAAGAATAGAGACAAAAAAAATAATAGTATTCGTTAGCATCGTATGGAATATTGTTATCAACTAACTCCTAAATGCAAAACACCTTTAATTTATAGCTTCGATTGTTTTCAAATTTCCTTTGGTCTGTTTTAAATTTGTACCTCATTTCCACTCGTATATGTTTATGTGCATTAGCTATGGTCTTTTCTGTTAGTCTAACAAAAGTTTTTGTCTTCATTTATTCAATTCTCAGGTATACCTATCAAGTTGTACCACACGGTTAATAAATTACCGATCATTTCACAATCGTGAAACATGATACGCCGAGTTCAGTCTTTAGTTAGTACGCACTTCTCGCCTTTAAATCATGTTTACTTGGTTGAAATCCAAATAAATTTCATATTTAACAAATGTTTTGTTGTGTATCATCTCTCACTTGTGTTGCCCGCAAGCGAACTAAATGAGAATTAACTGGCCATCCCCTTACACTCGACTAAACTAAACCTTTCATATTAACACTTTGGAATCAAATCCATAATCAAATATCCAAAAAATAGAAACATTGCATTGGATACCGGCATCTTTTTGCCAAATTTGTTCAATCGACAACCTTGCACTACATCAATAATTTCCTACCCCTGATCACAAAGTGACGTCATGGCACCGCAAAGGACTCTTCGAATCTCAACCTCGTTCTCAGGGTCCTCTCTTTTTCTCCCTCGAGAGAGGAAGAGAGCCGTGTACCCTGGGAACGAGGTAGGTCAAATATTTCAACGCAGCTTGCTTTGATTGATTTTGAAAGCAGTACTTTGCCTTTTAAATTTCTTTGGGCAAAGCCTTCAAATTATATCACTACAGAAAATCCCAAATTTAAACGCCATTTCATCAAATTTGCGAAAGATGCTGATTTACCAATTGCAACATTGAACTGTGTTTGTTATTTATCAACTCCAAAATGCTTCCAAGTGTTTAGATTTACCAGGCGTGTTCCTTTCTGCCTGCGCGGGAAAAACTGACCGCTTTCAAAAGCGAATTAAAGCCTGCTGAAGGGTCAGTATTGTGATACTAAAACAATAACTTCACCGTACTGAGTCCGCTTCATCTTATGAGGAGCACAACAACAATGACGTAGCAAGAACAGAAGAAGCACGTACAAATTAAAGACTCTCAATCGTTTCCGCTGGAACATACATCACAATTGATACGATTTGATTCCCATATACTGAGGAGCATTAAAGTTACAAATTAAATTTCCATTAATGTAACAGAGATAACTTAAAATGACCGAGGCAACACAATGAAGTCCAAATCGTCGAGGTAAGTTTTGGGCACGTACGCATACAGTACTTGAATTCTTAACATAAAAGGGAATTTTTGCTTGCTGCCATTCCCTTTATCAATTCGTAGATGCACCTCGAAAACGAACACCTCAGATCTATCGAGATTTTCATTTGGAAAATTAGGGTTTTTAGACGGAAATATTTCATACAAAACCAAGAACTCTTCATCGCCAATAAGATTAGCGTCGTAGTAAAGGACGAGGAGTGGCGGGATTCTTCAAACGTAACTATGCTACGACAAAAAAGCCTCAATTTATAAAGTGAAACTCGACGAACTTCGAAGAAGTCGCAAAGGCTGGCCGTCATCAATTATGACGCCAAAACGGCAACCTCTAACCCAGTGAATCTGGGTTGTCACATGGCCGTCGCCCCGAAAACGCCTGTATCTTAAGCTCCCTATTGTCGATAGGGTCACCGCCGGCCGCCAAAGGTGTTTTTGTTTTTAAATTTTCTCAGAATTGGACATTTATTCCGCATTCAGGAAACCTCCTGTTTTAAAATTGTTATCGGCGTATCCTTTGAAATGATAAGCGCAATTACGAGACAGCCGTTTATTGGGCCAAACTAAGTTGATATAATTTGAATATATCAACAAAGTTGAAATGGTAAATTGCCCACCGTAACGATTACAAAAGCTGACGTTTCGAACGTTAGCCCTTCGTCGGAGCGATGATTTCGCGATGATTTCGCGATGATTTCGCTCTGACGAAGGGCTAGCGCTCGAAACGTCAGCTTTTGTAATCGTTACGGTGGCCAATTTACCATTTCAACTTTGTTGATATATCCAAATTATTTCGTTACTCCTACCGACGCAGCCCCAAACAGTTTCTTTCGAAACTATCAGCCTTTAACTAAGTTCATAGTTTCCCCATTTGGGTCGGGAACTTTGTTTCGAATTATTTAACGATAGGCGATAGATTTGGCGAAATCACATAGACCATCTATTTATCAGATCCTTAAGTTCTGGAACTCCGCGATATTCCGCTCCTCCCTGTCCCCACCCCCACAAAGTTGTTTTGAGGGAAGGGGTTGGAGGCTGCAACCAGTTCTGTCTCCAAAGCCGGTTTAAGGTCGTCAAGAAATTAGATTTTAGATTACCCATTTTCTAAACTAAAATGAGGCCTCTCGCTAAGTAAGTTATTCGCGCGCCTCGTGCTGAATTGACTTAGCGTCATATTTAAAAAATCACACTGTCACGCCACAACAATAAAAATACACAACAATTACATCATATTGCGTGGGAGCATAACAACAGCGTATCGGAGTACCACGATAACGGCCCTAAATCACTTCCCTGATAACAGAAGCACTGGAATATACATCAGCCATTAACAAATGAACTGACATAGGCACGGTTTATTTTCTGTAAAGCTGCAAAATTTTTATAAACAGAATCGACGTTCCTCTAGCGTGACGAATCGAAGTTTTTTCCGCTTTTTAAAAAGAAAATTAAAATCCCTTAGGGGTTAGTTACACGAAGCAAACAATGCCTTGTAAAAAACAATTGCATGAGGTAATTAACGAGTACACAATTTGATCGCAGGCCAAAATGTAAACTCTCCCATCGCATCGCAGTAAACCATTACGGAAGAAAGTAGGGAGAATTTTAAAAAAATTGCCAGCTTACTGCTTGAGTGAGTGCAACACTTGGTACGGTAGGGAGAAATTAAACCTCGGCAACACTTTGCAATGTAATGGATGGTTGAATCGCTCACAAAAGCAAAGCCCTAGATTGTGTAGGTCAGTTTTCCATGAGGTCTGCTGATCGCGCACGCAGTGGAAGAAAATGAAGTTTATCTTGGCAACCTTGCTTCTTGCTTCAACCGTGGGAGCATTTAAGAGTCTGGTTGATCTTTCAGTGGCGAGGTCCAATAGACTGCATCATTTACTTAAGGGTAAGTTTAATTTATGTTCATGATTTCACTTTAAACATGTTTGTCTGGTTTGTAACGTTCCATAAGTTAACCAAAGATGTATTTCTTTCTTACCTGTGAGTCGGTATCATTTTTGCTTAAACATTTTTTGATAGTTAGAGATTTACAGCGATTTACTCATTTCAGTTTTCAGTTTTTTTTCATTTTAGCTACCCAATCAGTCCTACCTATTCTACCTCTCTCATCGATGAGCATATTGAAATGGAATGAAGTTAAAGCTTTTTTTCCTATTCATTACAAATGTCGAGAATCTTTGCGCACTTCCCAATCTGCCTTATGTACCAACGCGATGAAAAATTAGAAAAACAAATCATGGTTCATTTCGGTTCACATGTTCCACTGAAAACATTAATTTAAAAGAATTCCTTCTACCTTGCGAAATCTGTGAAAAGAAACTGGCTTTTTTGTTTCCCAAGCTACGAAATCTATTTTACAATAGGCTCAGTTCCAAGCCGAATCTACCGATATTTTTTTCGCCTCTGAGAAAAGCCTCCTTTTGTTGCTTGGCAACATAGTTAAGTGATTTGAAATCAAGAGTCCTTATTTCTTAAAGAAGAATCTTATTTCTTAGAGCGAAACAACGAGGTTATGGTTTCCAACATATTTTCCGCGTTCAGGGCAGTCTCATTAATTGTACTTAATGATGCAAAGTTCTTTCAGGTTATCAGGATTTTTTGGATGAATGAGTTTTTGTTGAGCCGGATTCTCAGAGGCTGACAAATTTTCCGCATTCAGGGAAAACGCTTTGTTTCGCTTGACACTTTAAGATCGATTGTTCTTAGAACTGGTCAGAGATATTAATAGATGTGGAGACAAATGTTTCAGTAGTAATCAATTGTGAATGTAAAAATCATGCATATCTCTTTCAGCGAAACGCTTTTAAGGTGGCTTAAAACTATTTCAATACTTTTAAACATTTTTTTTTTTTATGGATCGTATCTTTAACCTTTTTAGTTTGTTTTCCTGGGGAAAAATTTCAAATCATATCTGAAAAACTTGTATCAATGTTTTTAGTTAAGACTAACACTGCACAATAAAATGACCCTACTAATTTTATCTTTAGGCCTTCTTTAAATCAAAAACAGTTACGATGATCCCATTTTTGAGAGCATTGCAATTAGAGGGGGTTATTGGATATTTTTACTTATGGATCAGAGCCACGGCCGAACTATTTAAGTAAGCGAATCAAAGTCTCCAGCAAAATCCTATATGTATAGCACAACCGCTTCCACCATCTTCATGGGCCAAAAACGAGACAATATCCAGACGGATACAAAACATCGAGACAAATCATTTCAACTTGTAAAATTTTAGTTTTAACGATGACAGAAAATTAAGTACAGTCGGTAGTACTGTATACTGAAAGCTCGCAGAACAAAAATGCAGTTGATTTTATTTTTTCGATACCTGAGTAAAGAACAGGTCTCAGGTTAGAGACAAATCCCCTTTGAGAAAACTTTATGAAGCGTTTATTTGGAGTTGTGAGTTGTAACAGCTGTTTCTTCATCGGTCTCTCCGCCGACATAAAACACACGGGTTCCGAGAAAAATTTCAGCCGTCTAGTCGTAGGATGTCGAGAAGGCGAGCCGAAGTATGTACAGAAACTTGTCCCGCGTGACAGCGCTATTCCTCATGCCGAGGTGAGACAAGGCCTTCAGCCGAGTTATCTCGCACCCTAAGACAAGTTCCCAAGTTTCATGTAAACGGTTGGTTACTGTTTCAAAGAAATAGGTCAAAACTGGGGAACGGGTTGTCTAGGTTACGTGGGTAAAGGCTGACAGTTTCGAAAGAAACTGTTTGGGGCTGCGTCGGTGGGAGTAACGAAATAATTTGGATATATCAACAAAGTTGAAATGGTAAATTGGCCACCGTAACGATTACAAAAGCTGACGTTTCGAGCGTTAGCCCTTCGTCGAAGGGCTAACACTCGAAACGTTAGCTTTTGTAATCGTTACGGTGGCCAGTTTACCACTTCAACTTTATTAGGTTACGTGGGACCATATAACTAAGACTTGAAGCTTTCATTGCCTCCTTAGGCTCATAGATAAATAGTCATACGTTTACACGTCTCCATACCCGATCTGCCCCGTGTTTTATACTTAGATTTCCTCATGATATTTTGCTCATCACAGATGGGCCTATTAATGTCAAGAAACTCACGGAAACGCATTCACTAACCAAGACAACAGCTCACCTTGCTCGTCTGTTGAAGAAAGGGGAGCCTATGAATGACCAACACGAGGGAGAGGAAGAGGAAGAGGAAGAATCGGGATCAGCTGCATTGGTTCATGTGGTAGGGAATTCACTTTTAGCATTCGTAATGAATGTTTTTTTATTCGGCAGTCAGTTAACTATCTCTAATATTGTGGGGCTAACATGAAAATTAGGATTAAAATTAAACAAAATCTTGTTAAACCGCAATTGTAATGCCATAGTGTAGTTCTGTAAACTTTGCACCCTTTTTTGAATTGTAGATAAAAAGAATCAGGCAAGCTCTGACAACATTGAAGGAGGCTAGGGACAAACAGGATAAAGGTAGTTGACAACTCCTTATAATTCGAAAATGTAGTTAAAGTTCTACGGATAGTTAAATCAATTTCCTTTCTGTTGTGTTCATTTCTTTTTCTCTTCTTTTTGTATATTAGAGAGAAATAAGTTTTCATTCAGGTCAGATTTAGAGCTGAGTCTCAATTCAGAAGGGTATATATGGGATATTTGGCATTGTATCAAAGCTGAAGGATTTGGATTTATCAGAAAACCAGCTCGAAGTATTTGGTGAAATTCGGGGGTTAGGCCATTAATATTTTGCCTCTTCCCTTTGGAAGTCTTTTTTTGCGTTGCTTTCCTTTCGTCGTTTTTTTTTTGTTTGTTTGTTTTTGTACTGATGGGCTTAAAACTTCGAACACACTGAAAAAGAGTTTTTCATCCATCGAATCTCTTTGTTTTCCTTGTCGCAATTCAGGTCGTCCTCAATTAAAGGCTCTTATGCTTTAATTTTAACTTTCAGCTGATGCAAAAGCTTTTCTGACCGTATTGAAGCATGGAAACGCAACTGAAATCAAGGAACTGATGGGCAAACATGCGATGGAATGGCACAGTAGATGCCATAATGTAAAAAAGCTATTTGCTAACTACATCAACATGACAGGTGAAATGCCAAATTTTCATCTTTCTCGTTTAAATAACTCCCTCAAATTCGTAAGGTTTATTTAAGGTTTCTTCTAAGAAAAGAGAAATTTAAGCTCTCGTTAGCTATAGAAGCATTATTTTTTTAATAATAAAGGTAAAACTTACTGTTCTAGTTCGACCAAGAGGACTTTAACTAAGTTCTGCAAATTCTATTTGAGATGAAAAACTTCTAAATAATTCGATTCATCACTGCTCAATCGCATGTAACAAGTGCAAGAATTTGCCTGTTATCAATTAGTGGATTGCATTTCTTTTCTTGTGTAGAGCTGATAGCGTTGTTAGGCAATGACAACTATGATTTCGAAGAGGGAATGGGCAAGGTTCTCAAAGAAGCGGAATTAAACGAACAAGCCGGTGAGAATTTTGACTGTACAAATGTCTGTCAAGTGTCTGTACTTGTATACAGGTTACGTACAAGATAAAAATTGTATTTGCGCGTCTGACTAGCCTGCATCTGAGCGTATAAAATGCGTCTGTGTAGTTAACGTACTGACGTGAGTGGTACTGTATTTGTTATTATCATTAGTTCTTGTATTATCTCTAATGTCATAATTAGTTAATAAAGGGGTTGTGCACTTAACGATAGCTATTAAATTTCCGTACAGCAGCTATCATTTTGTGGCCGATGGTGCTACGCATTGTAAAGTTAAGTATCTATATAGATAAGTATCTATATATAGGTTGTTGTTGCTTGTTTTCTGCAGTGCAACTTGTCATACTACGTCAAAGAAACTCTGAGAGCACAACGCAGTCTTTCTTTTTGTGCACTTGTCTGTCAGAGGAGTAGGCTTAAAATTCTAAAACTAACTCCCATGAATTTCATTTCTTTGGGGTATTCACTATAAATCACCTAGGCACTTTCTCCTCCCTGTAGACGTTTTTGAAGCGTTTGTCGGCATGGCTCATGCACACGGTCTCGCGGATCATGTTGGAGTAAAGGCTGTCATGGAAATTGGTGGGATACTGGCTGATACCTACTGTGACACTAAAATGGATGGTGAGTATGAAATATCTCTTTCCTTATCTAAACAAAAACATCCCGCTCTGGTAAAGTACTTAGTTCATTTCTAAGCCTTCACGTTGACCCTTTGACTCCTGACAGCGATCAGCACCTAATTTCTCCTTACAATATTAACCCGAAAATACAGAAAATCATGACCAACTGAAGAACCTCCTCATTGATGAACAAATTCTCTTTGTCAGCAACGTAGGAAACGTATAGAGAACAGTATGGAGAATATGAATACAGATGTAAAGGTGTAAAAGGTTATATAAGTAGCCTAATATTTTTTTTAATCAAAGTATGGACAATATTTACCCCGGTAATCTTTGTCAATTCTCCTGGTTTGATTACCGCTTTTGCGACGTACTTTTAGTTTCCTGATAAAAAGCCTCTTTCCCTAGCTTGAGTACCTTTTGCATTTTATCTTTCTCATATATCTTTATAAACTACAGGTTCGAAAAATTCTTAAGCAAGATATAGAAACATTTTTTTTCTGTTCATCCCAATGATATTTTTGTTTTTCTTTTCTGCTTTGTTGTTTTTAAGGCTTGATTAGCTTGATTGTTCGTTCCGTGGACGAATCCGATCCTCGTGGCAGTTTTGATGTCTCTAAGAAAATAAAGCCATATCGCTATGCAGTGAACAGTGGGCATTGTATGAATAGAAGTAAGTCCAGCAACGACGACATGAAATTTAAACCAGGAATACGACCAATGGCACAATCTATCAAATTGCCCAGAGTAGTTATAGGAAGCTTCATTTTACGATCAGTTGTATTACCTTCTTTGTTTGTCTGTGTTCTGTTCCTCTTTTTCTATTGTGTCTACCATGCTCATGGTATCAACAAAGTCAAACTCGTCGTTACTTAAAAATGGGGAAATCATGGTCGCATCCGAGAAAAAAAGAAAGGAAGGGCTGCCGCCATCTTTTTGCCCCACACTGAAAGCATGTAAAGATGGTCCGGCTTAAATTACGGACATGGACCAAGGGAACATGTCCTGTTTCAACTGAGACTGTCATGGCCGGCATTCTTTGATACCTTCCAACCCGTAGTAATCCTTTCATTTTATCAGTTTTTTTTTTCATTTTGATTTTTAAGGTCTGGTCAAACGCGCTGGTCCTTATGAACCAAAAAGCCTCAAGGAAAAAGCACTGGATTTAGTGTTTGAGCATCACGACGAAAACAACTGCGATGAAGGTACGTACAGAACTGAGCATAAAACTCACGCTTTTGAGGAAAACGTTTCCTCACTTTTACAAGCCTGGTGTTTTCAGCATTGTTGCTTAATTTTTCTTCAATTTTATAAATCAACCGAACTAAAGAACTTCCCTGATTTCAGTTTGAAACCTGTGAGAAGACCGTAAGGAAAGAACAAGAGTCCATATTTTGGTATCGCTTTTTTTTCGGTTTGGTTTATCCTACGGAGTGGGAGATCGTTTCTTTTTTATTTTCTCCATGTTGTATGCTTTTGCTTTGTGGTCTGTTAAGCACACATAAGTCAGTATCTGCTTTGAATTCTGTCTCCCTCAAACATGTATCGATATCAATCAGGGTTTATTTGCCTTAGATGTTTAACACTCGCGCAGTTTTGGAAAAAAACAAAAGAAGGGTAAGAATGCCGGCATATGAAACTGATATCAGACCTCTAAAGGCAGCCTGTCAAGTCTTTTTGTCATTTAATTAAGATTCCATGCAACCCTACTTTGTTGTTCCCAAAGGCTTTTTTTTTCCACCATCATGGAATGGTTTTTCCTTTTTTTTTTTTTTTCAGTGAACCTCATACGGCTTATTGTGCATCTTATCCATGAGGTCAGTATTTATTCGAATGTCAGTATTGTTACAATGTTTTTTGTTTTTTTTTGAAGGAGGGGTGGCTGTAGGAAAAACAAACTTATCTCATATCAATTACGATACATATGGGGTGCATCACAACTCGTATGCCGTAGCCTTATCCTGTATTTCTATAGCTTTTCACCGGTTGATTTTGTTAGAGTGTAAATTAGATTGATTATTAGTGGGTAAATTAAATTGATTGAGAAAATCCACCATGAAGCTTGTCTTTTGTCTTCTCCTCCCTCACGTTATGGGAGAAACTGTGAATATTCAATCAAAAGTTCTAGATAGGAGCAGATATTTTACAAATTTAAGAAAATAAATGACATTTTTGAAAGACATGTTTCTAAAGTTCTTGCATGGTTATCTCCGGTTCAGCAAAAAATTTTCAAAGTGCAGAGTTGAATTTAAAGGGTACGAGTCTTGTGTATACACTTTAAATTCAATTCTGTACTTTATGATGTTTAAACTTAAGGTAACGGAAAAACTGTCGAATATGTCTTTCAAAAATATCATTTGTTTAAATTCAATCTAAAGTACAAAATGACCGCAGGTAGCTAGATAATCATGCATTTTCAGAGATATACTTGCATGTATCTTCACAGATTTAATTGTTAATAAGTCATAGTAGCGCTACTCATGATCTGAGAAGGTTTGCGATTTGTACTTAAGTCGGGACCGAGATCATATTTTTAAGTAATATTTTGCTCAATTTGTTTTAGGGTGAAAAGTTACGCGAATCGTCTAAAGAGCTACATGATGTCACACAGAAATTTGAAGCTGGTATGTAATAATTTGTACCTAACGCCATGGGCTGTCGGTTAAAGTAACCTCCTATCTCACATACACCACTCTTTTCCGCCATGGACCCAGCTACATGTAACCCCCAAACAAGACATCGTTCGGCTAGAAACCCTTCTGAAGCTGCATAACTTCAGGATTTACAAGAGTCTAGCTAGCCATAGCGATTTACGGTTTGTAACCAGACGTCTTCAGCAGATAAAATTAAAAAAAAAAAAATGAAGGTAGCAAGAATAATTTTACCGGTGCAATAGAGTACCATAGCCGCCCCCGCCATTGTTATTATTGTTAGTGTTTAAAAAAAGACTTTCACATTTTCTTTCTTTGAATTACAACGTCTTTCCAGAAACCTTAATTACAATCTTAAGTATAGCGAAAAAAAGTGGGAAAAAAGGCATCATGAGCAGAAAACTCATTTGGATGAGTTAAAATTTAGTTACAGTGTATTCTGAGTGTCCGCCCTGTGCCTTTTCTTAGCTAGATTTACACTCGCACAACATCCAAGGTTCACTTAAACCTTTTAACCCCGACGATCTGACTGTTAATTCTCCCCTCTTGCTGCTGCACATTTCCCAATAAATTAGTTACAAGAATTTGGTGTTTTATCAAGATAACAAACTCTTACCTGATAAATGTTAGTATTCTCATCACCTGTTTGCTGGATAATGTCATGGGGAGAAGTTATGTATTGATCACTTTTTAGGAGTTAGCCGGCTGAAGCGATTGTAACCGACATGCTAAACGAAAACATGTTCTTTTCCAAGGAATGATCGCGAAGGTTACGCAGTTGATGAAGGAAGGTGATGAGGATGAAGCCTATAAGACTGTGGGTCAGTATGTGCTGGATCAGTTGAGGGGAGCCATAGTAATCGGTAACGCTGTCGAGAAACATTTAAAAGCACTTGCATCTCCCCAAGCTCCTCCCTAACGAAGTGTAAGTATGGGAATTCTAAATCTTGCTGTGTTCCTGAAAACTGTCACTGTTCTGTAGCTGTAAGCCGGAAGGAAATCGCGTTACTTGTATATAACGTCGGTGATCAAACAATTTAAAGATAACACTGAATAAAGGTGACGATTCTCTGGCATAGCAAAAAGTCTCTGGTTTAAACTCTGTACAAACTAGGCCCGTTTTGAACCTACATTTAGCAACTTTGCGTAGAAATGTTTGATAGATTATAAAACATTGCGGATCAATCTGTCAAATGAGTAACTTTTCTTTTTCTCTTTTGTAGGGCTGATAGGTAGAGCCTCATTGCCTTTTTCCCCGCTGGATATGCAACAGTCGTAGTTTACATTGGAAACAAACAGACGGAAGAAAAAAGCAGATAAATTTGTTTCATTTAAAAGGCTATGGTCATCCCATATTTAGAAATTGGAATAATTAACTTTTAGCAAAAGAAGTCTCATTTCTTAACTTCTTTAATTAGTTGTACCGTTTTTATTCAAGAACTTGGCAATTTGCGCCTTACCGTATTGTGCTGCTCTCACAGGGTTATTGGTGTCTAAGTTTTCTTGTTTTATACTTCTTTTTTTTTTAACAAATAAAATCCGAGGGAGAAACGAATGAGTTTTTACTGTCTTGAATGTAATATCTGTAAACTTCGTAAAGAAATAGTGTCCTTTTTTTTTATTCAACCACAAAAATTGATAATAAACTGATATTGACTCAATAACCGAAAGACTCGTGGCATGGATGCGCGCGCGAGTATCGCACTGATGACTGCTATGGTTAAAAACGCAGGTAAGACTTGATATGCACTTGACGGTACTTCATAGACAAAACTGAGTGAATAGTAAGTCGACTGGTAACCTCCCGACAATAAATAAGAAAAAATAGAAAATAAGAAAATCTTTTCGAATGATAAATCGGTCTCTAAGAGAGTATTTAACATACGCCACCCTAAAATTTAAGAAAGATTGAACGCAACGAAAACCATGGAAAATTTAACACTAAAGACTACCTCTGTATATATGTCTCATTTCGTGCTTTTAGCTCCTCATTTTGCATGTAACTCCCGATAAAACTTAGGATTAGCGATTAATCGCATCACGGCCTGTTATGGGCTAACCACGAGGTTAACTTTTTCGCATAGCAGAAATCTTTTGATAGCGCTTTGTTTTCATTTTTCTTTTTATCTCATTTTCGTTCAAGGTTACATTGCCAGGATAGTAGAGTCTTTCCCACGGGAATGTCTTCTTTTATTCAAATACATTACCATTTCCTGTGCATGAATTGGTGAACCCTGGGTCAATGAAGATAAAAATACTTTAAGTTAAATTTACAGGCAAGGACTAACGGGCCGAATGAAATACAACTTGAGTAACCAGTTTGGGTTTTTCTTCGCAGATTGTTTTTGCATGGCATTTTCAAGTGCGACACTGAAGCTTAGCCGCGAATGTGCAATTAATATCAGATCAGGGCCTGAATTCATCTTTAACATTTTGTTTCTTTATTCAAAAGTACCTTCATAAATGCTGGTTAGTATTGTCCTCATTAAGGATTGATTCAAGCGGAGACTTTCGATTTTTCTTAAAGAATTACTGCAGAGAAGATTTTGCGGTCGTGTTCCATTAGCGCCTTCTCAATAACTACTTTTCATTAAAAACAACTTTTCATTAAACTACTTTTCATTAAAAACAAAAAACCCCAACCGTTTATTGACTGTATTCAATTAAATTGGCTTGAAGCAGCTTTAGTTTGGTTTTTCCGCGTTGTCATCAATTTGTATCAATGCTTAAAATAAGTAATTCGCTTATTGGTGTAAAAAGAACAACAAAAGTGTGGAGGAGGTTTTCAAAGTATATGGTACGGCATGGGAATACCTATTTACAGCTATGAGGATCTTAAGTTTACCTATGGTTAGATATTTCAAATCAGTACCCAATCAAAAAGCCGTAATTTTCAAGTACATTTCGGGAATCTGTAAAATCCATATGAACTTTAATCGAGCAATTAAAGATTTTTCCGCGTTGCGCTTCATTTACATCCCCTGTGGATCATTTCAAAATTAATTACATGCTTTAATACAATGCCTACTAAAAACAATGGTTAGACATGAGTATGGCTATTGTTTGACCACAAGTTTAAAATCAAAATTCTCCATTACAGAGCAGTAACATGGAAGCTAGTTTGGAGAATTTAGGTGTCAATCATCACTTGGTTAAATATAGCAACAGTATTGGGAGAAATTGTAAATCGATCCAACGCTTTGTGATGAATGGATGATGACTCCCACGCAATAAGCCGACACGATGTTATTTATCTCAGTTGTCTAACGGGTCAACCATCGCGTGCAAGTCATTACCAGGTGGAAGGCAGTGGGGGAAGATGAATTATATCCTTTTAACTTTTCTTTTCGTCTCCGCTGCTGAAGCATTTCAGAGCCAGGTTCATCTTCCTGAGAATACAGTCCGCAATAAACTGGCTGAGTTAGATCACTACCTGCGAGGTAAACATTTCCTTTATAACAATTTTTTATCAGTCATTCGGTGGTCGTAATGTCTCGAGACAATGGTTATAGAAAGTTTTCAAGTCACTATAGAGCGCATGTTTTCATTAATCGGAATTAATATCATTGACAGAAAATTTTTGAATGAATTATTTTATAGATGGAATGAAGAAGCGAGAGCTAAGATTATAAAGGGGGCATTAAACCGGTAAAGTCCCGACAATCAGTTGTGGGTTCTGAGTTCCGTCAAAGAAATGAAATAAAACATAAATTAAAAATAGTTTGTATACACCAGAATATGGCTTAAGAGAAATCCTTTTTGCCTGCTTTACTGTTATCTCTTAACGAATTTTACATGCTATGCGCTTTGTTTTAATTAAGGACAGTTCATTTGAATTTACTTCTTTATTTTCAAATTAGTTTTTCTTTTCCAAAAAAAATGCATGGTGAGCCGCTGCAGAATTTCACGATGATATTTGATATTTAATTTTTTTCCGATTTCGTTGACTCGTCAATGAGCAAAACTTTTTCCGCAATCCTATACGACACCAAACTGACCATCAAAGTGAAATTTGTTGAATGAAAAAGTTGCTCAAGCAAAGCTAAAACGAATTGAATGGGTAGTAATTAAATTGTTTGTCTCGTATGCCTGTCATGTTTAATTTTGCTTTTTTCCGCATTTCGCGAAAGATTGCTACGTGTTGCCATGGCACTATAACTACAGAATTCAAACAACTAAAAAATGCCTTTTTTTCCTTCTTCTTTACCTCCTCTTGTTGTTTGCTTGGGTTGGTAACAGAGTTAACCGGCATTAGTCTTGTACCAAACCACCTGGCAATAGACACGGGCAACCCAGATTCGTACATATAATTAATTTGTTTACATCTTCACCACTCGAGGCAGTTTAACTAAAATGTTGCAAAGCTGTTTGATCGTGCCTTGCTTTTTATATACGGTTGTTTCATCATCATTCTATGTTGCACATGGCTGAAGGATTTCTTGAGTATAAGATTTTTTTAAATTACAAATTGCTTTGGAATGTTAATGTAAATAGTGGATATTCTACTTGCCATAGTTTTTAGTGCCTACTGTGTCTTCCTTCTAAGAGGCCGTGGGCACCGCCGTTGTGCTTTCATACATGTACCTATACTATTAATTTCCTGCTCTGTCCCCGGCCTGTCAGTTGACTAGTGTACAAACTGTGCTCTAACCAAGTCCTCCTTTTGTCACAAGTTTGGCATCGATAAGAGCTGTTCATTAACCCCTTCTGCATTTTACACCACATTGCTTTTTTACTGTAATACTCTATACAACTATACAACAGTAGGCGTATGCAGTCATAGATTGCCCTTTATTATTTATGGGCAGATCATTTGCTTTACCCAGAAATCAACATCTCTCCATTGCGCTCAACTAAGGAAATGAAAATAGGATTACGTAACCGGCTTTGCCTAGGCCTGGTCCAAAGTTATCGCACCACCATCAGTCAGCCCCAGTCTTTTTAAGTTAAAAAATACTATAAAAATGTCCATCACTTTTTTTTCGCAGATGGACCGGTAGATGTCAATAAACTCAGACATCCCTCAATGACCAAAACCACAGCTCGCCTTGCTCATCTCTTGAAAAAAGGTGAACAGATGAATGATCGTGAAGGACAGGAACATGGTGAGGGGGAGGGATCCGTGGCGGAGGCGGTGAAAATGTTGGCTGATTCAGTAAGTGTTCAGTATTAATGGCCGTTTATTTATTTTATAATTTTTTTCATAATTTTTTTCTAATTTCAGAAAATTTTAAAGATAATTCTGAGTTCATGTGCACTTTTGAAGACTCCTCTACTTTGTCGGCCTGGATCAAAGCAAAGTTTTAGACCTGGAACAATCTCTTTGATACTTGACAACCATTCGCTGAAGAGCAGATAGCTTGTAGTGGATATTTACCAAGCCGCAAAATGGCGAGATTAATATCCACCACTCGCCAGCGGCATTGAGGCGAATATATTTTTTTAATATATACTAAAATAAAATTGAGATAATACAGTAAAAGAGATGATTTTAACTCATTTATTTCTGCACCGACTACATTATTTTTGGGGTGCAATTCCGCATGAGTTGCTAGGGGGTGGATAGCCAAGGCTATTCGGAGTTTGTGTAGCCAATCAAAGCGCGCCTTCAACGCTATCCACTGTTATATCATATACTATAAATATCATCCACTGAATGATAGAGTCCAATTATTCCGTATGTTTTCGAGAATATTTTAGAACATGAAGATAACCGAATATCTGCTCGGTTCTAATACCATTACCTTAAACTGATTCTAATCAGAAAATTTTTATCTAGTTAGGGGAGATCGTTCCTGCTTTGAAGACGCTAAAAGCTGCTAAAGATAAAAGGAATAGAGGTAAATCATGAATAAATTTCTTCTTTAATTCTGTTTTCATATAGGTAAAATATGTTTTGTTGTGTACCTTAAAGTTGTTTCCAAGTTCCAAGCTTCGCCAGTTTAGGGCTCAGTAAGCGGACCAGTTAGTATGTAAACCAAGGTTTAAAAAAATAAGTGTGTGTTACATTTTAAATTTCAGAAAAAGCACTGGAATTGATGAAGGCAATACGAAGCGAACCCTCAAACGACAAAGTAAAGACAATCCTGGGACGCCATGTAGCTGACAACTACGATAAATGTGAAAAAATTAAAGAGGTCTTTCATTCCAAAGGTTTGATATTCAGAAATTATTCGTAAGACGTGATAAATTACAAGCGATCTCAATTCGGTGAATACAACATTAATTGAGTGCCGTGAAACCCAAAACCAATCTTTTTGCAATGACCAATCATGCCGCAGGGAGCCAAGGAAAACACAAAGTAAAAACAAGCAAACTGCTTAAAGCGCGGGAAAAAGCCGATGAAGTCGCGATTGCTTTAAGTTTTCAATCTGACTGTGGTTGAAATGGTGGCACAACTTTTCTGGACCAATTGCAATCAGAGAGAAAAGTAAAGTAAAACCTAAGCTATCCGGAAACCAGGGACATCCGCGACATTCGACAGAAAATTGCTCTAAAAATAAGGGGTTCACCATTAAGTTATCACCCCTTCGGATTTTTTTTGGGGGGTACCTCTTAGCTTGATATAAATTTTGATTTTCCTCACTTCAAAATTTGCTTTAATCTTTATCTTACTAAAGAACATCTTATTCAGGGTAGCTCGTAATGGTCGATATAGGGTGTTACGTCGTCTCACAGGAGGGTGGGGAGAGTTGGGACAGAATTTGACGGACCTTGCGTCTGGGTAAAGAGTTACTAGGTGTTGCGTTTTACCTTTCACAGCTTTATCCGTGTTAGACTTTGATGAAGAAATGGACGAAGTTCTCGAAGACGCTGGCCTCGGCGAAAAGACTGGTAAGAGACTCAACTGAAATGTAAATGCTATCAAACTCTTGAAATTAAACGCTGCTGATTCTAAAATTCGGGTGGCTCTTTCAAGAGCCTCGCTACGGGGTACTATAAAAACTTTCAGAACTACATATAAAGTCACTTCTGCGTAATAGTAAATAAAACTACGACAAACAATACGGCTAGAGCAGCACTATCAATTTGCGATCTTCGTTGTTAATATCCTCAGCTGAATGAACAGAGTTGTGCCTTTTACTGCGAGTTACACAAGGAACTTTCGTTCGTGAAAATTCTGCAACCTCAGATTGTGATACATCTTAGTATCCTAGATCTTGATTGCTATCTCTTGGTATACGTCATTTGTCATTCCATCTATTTAAGATGATTTTAAAGCCCTCACCCACACTGATCCCCATGGAGTGATGGGTAAGATGAAACAACTGGTGGTTGACGCAGCATGTGATAAGAAAGTGGATGGTAAGTATTATAATCTGTATTATTAAAAACTGGATCATTGGATAATGCAATCCAAGACTTTTTATTGACTTAGCCATTATTGGTTATGAGCCAATATACCATAATCTACAAATATGGTAAGCGTA